TTCAGAAACCACTGTTTTAACTGGTCTTTGCTCTCTAAATGATATGTAAATATGTAAATCAACACTCGAACCAGTAACAATTCATTTCATGAGATTCTCTGCATTAACTTTTGTAAAGTAGTTGATCTTCGTGCATTTTTTTTTTGGCACCTATGAAACCAAAAGATTGCTGAGGCCAAGGTGTTCGCTGATAATTGAAAATCCCAAACTTTGTGAGAGCTTCAGGAGCTATTACATCAATGATAATTTTAGTTTTCTTCTACCAGTTTCTGGACTTCAGCCACAGTTTCTTCATTGATCAAGGTTGATGTCCTCTCTATCCTGACTTTTCTTTGTGGTCTTCCAGACATTTACAAAACTTGCTGCATCTAAAGTGTTGTTTTACATGGGGCAGATTGCTGTAAACCTGTGAGAACGCTTCAATGATAGGAGAAGACCACTTGATGTCCACTTGAGTTTGGTAAAAATATGTCACTAGCCCTGACCTCAAAGTCATATTTTTGCATGGCACAAAAAGCATCCTTGTATTTTCTAAGGGACTTAGTCGAGACTAAGAAAAACTTTATTACTGAGAGAACTTGTGTGCAGCTATCCACTGATAGCAGAGACATGTCTTAATCAATTTTGTTTGGAATAAGTCCATGAATGTATGACCTGGAGCCTAGTAACCTACTATGTATCCACCACATGTCTGCCAGTTTGTCATGCTGTGGTGGCTTATGCGTTTCTCAGATTTTGGAAGCTATTCATGGGTATTTTAAACACCAGCAGGATCATTCATGGTGGATAGGTTTCAGTGAGTTAATGTGCTAAACTGCAAAGTTGGTTTGAACCGTAAGGTCAGCAGTTCAAGCTTACCAGCTGCTCCTCAGAAACCTTATACAGGGTCACTATGAGTTAGAACCGATTCAGTGCCACTTAACACCAACAGTCTATATCATGAAGTGCTTGGGTGGCCTTGCAAGATAATGCACTGTACTACAAGGTTGATTCAACCCACGGTGTCAGCAGTACAAACCTCACAGCCATTCCTCGGAAACCCTGTACAGAGTCTCCCTGAGTCAGAACCGACTCGAAGGCACTTGACAACAAGAAAAACAAAAATCTATTGATAATCTCTGAGAAGGACATCATGCTAGGTAAAGTGGAGGGTCAGTAAAAAGAAAGACCCCCCCAAATGAGATGGATTGACACAGTGGTAGCAGCATGGGTTCAAGCGTAACAAAAGTTGTACAGATGGCCCAGGACCAGGCAGTGTTTCATTTTGTCATGCATAACGTCGCTGTGACTTGGAAACGACTTGACGGCACATAACAACAATCTGTGTCATTTGTGAGCCCTGGTGTGGCGTGGTAGGATAACCACTGGACTGCGGGTCCAAGCCACCAGCTGTTCTGCAGAAAGCCCATTAGTTAAATGGCTTGAAGGTACTCACTGACAACAGAGATCATTATCAGTGAATTGACATCTTGACAATATCAAGTTCATGAGTGAATCTCTCCGTTTATTTAGATCTTTAATTTCGGCTTTTTTTCCTTAGGTTTAGACATTACTTGCTTACATTTTGTTTCTATCTGTTTTTCCGCTTTAGTCAATTTGCGCATTAAAAGATACTCACGGTCAGTGGTCTTTTTTGTTGTTTTACTTGTCCATGGAGTCAGTTCTGAATCATAAACCCTTACAGGGTTTCCAAGGAGCTGCTGGTGGGTTTGAACCACCGCCCTTGTGGTTTTGCTGTCCAGTTCTTTTCCTGCAGCACAACTCCAAAACTCTGGGGAAATGCAAATCAAAATTACATTGAGAAACTATTTGATACCCATCAATAATACTATTATTACTGCTAGAAATAATAACAACAGAAAATAACAAGTGTTTGTGAGGGTGTGGAGAAATTGGAATGTTCATGCATTGCTATTAAGAATGTAAAGTGATACAGCCACTGTTGAAATCAACCTGGCAATTCCTCAAATATCTCAAAGTCGAAACAAGGAAATGAGTGGATAAATAAAATATGGTATGCATAGAAATCATTTCCATAGATTTGATTCCAATTCACAGTTATAGAACAATGTAGAACTGCCCCCATAAGACTTCAAGGGTCTTTACAGAAGCTGACTGCCACATCCTTCCACAGAATGCAGAGCGACTGGTGGATTTGAACCACAGATGTTTCCATAAGCAATGGTGCATTTAGCCACTGCATTACCAGGGCTCCTTATATACTATTATTATTCGGTGCTAAAAAGAAATGAAGTACTGATATCTGGTACAACATAGATGAACTTTAAAATACATTATGCAAAGTGAAAAGGCCAGTCAGAGAAGAATCTATATTGTATGATTCCCTTTGTGTAAAATATTCCTAACTAGAAAATCTAGAGACAGAAGTCCATCAGTAGTTGCCTGCAGATGAGGATGGGAAATTGGGAGATAGGAGGTTTCTGTTTGAGGTGATGGCTCTTCTGGAGTTAGATGATGGTGATGTTTGCGCATCACTGTGAATACACTACAAATCACTGAACCTAGAGACACTTCTGAATGACTAAAATAGTCTCTTATCTCAATGAAAACGTTTTTCAATCTGGGTGATCATTATAATATTCTTTTTCTGTGTCTGAAAATGCTTAGGATGTTTTTAATAGTAAATTATTTTTCAAAGAAATTTAAAAATGAGGGGGACATCTGTTATATGAGAGGGGGGCCTTCAGAAAGTTCATGGGAAAACTCCATTATCTTTTAACTCCATTTTCCCACAAAGTTTTAGAAGTCCCCTTGTATTTTCATATATACTGTTTGTTTGTTTTTTTAATGTTTTTAATTTTGCTAAGTAGTTCTAAATTTCTACCTAATATCGTTTTCTTTCTAAGGAGCTTCTTTTAGTAGTTCTCGTAGTCTGGGTCTAATGGTAATCAATTTGCTTATCTTTTGTTGGTCTGACAATACCCCTTGTTTTCCTATTGGCTGGGCTTATGATACGAGGTTGGGATTAGTGGCTAAACTGAAAAGGGATATCCTTGTTATTTGGAAGTTTAATTGTGGTGTGCCTAGCTGTGTTTGTTTCTGTGGTTACACTAATGGGGTTCCATTGAGCTTCTTGGTTCTATGGGTTTATATTTTTATCGATTTTAGAATATTTGGTGGCATTGTCTTTTCAGATAAGGAGCCCTGTTGCTGCAGTAGTTAAGCACTCAGCTGCTAATCAGAAGTAAGGAAATCTGACCTATCAGCTGTTCCACATAAGGAAGCTGTGTCTGTCAGCTCCTGTAAAGGTTGCAGGCTGTGGAAACTCTAGAACTGGTGCTTGCCTGTGGAGTTGCTGTGAGTCTGAATCTGCAAGAGGCAATGAGTTTGGTTTGGGGCTTATGCATCCCAGAATTGATTGTTTTAAAAACTGTTCCTCATTCTTTCCTCAGTTTAGAGTGGGGCAGTTAGGGGTAGAAGTATAGTGGGTTACACATTGGGCTGCTCACCTCGAAGTCAGCACTTAGTTGACCAGCTGAAGTGGAAGACCAGCCGAAGTGGAAGAAAGATGTGGAAGAAAGATGAAGCGTTCTGTGTGTGGCTGTAAAGTTTTACAGCCTCGGCACCTTATGCAGGGCTGCTATGACTCAGAACCACCTTGGGGCATGCAGCAGCAGTTAGGAGTAGAGAGCTGGTGGAAATAAAGGGCTGTAAGCTGCTGTGGTGGTTACTAATCGGGCTGTGACTCTAAAGTCCACAGTTCGAAACTACCAGCTGTTCCGTGAGAGAAAGATGAGTCTTTCTGCTCCTGTAAAGATTTACAGCCTCGGAAACCCTGTACAGGGTCGCTATGAGTCGGAACTGACTCCACAGCACATAACAACAACAACAAAGCCGCTCTCTCTGCTCAGTTTGTCTTTACATCAGAACACTCTTTATTGTCTATACTGTACTGAAATAGAGATCTTGATTGGATTTATACATCTTTTGTGCCCTCCCCTCAACGATAGCACAATGCCTAATAGTGGGGATACAGTAAATATCTGATTGGATTTTCTTGATAAATGGAATTAGAGCATTTCTAAAAATGGACTTGTAGCCAAATTTTAAATATGCATGCATCACATTTTTGAAGCTACAAGTTGTAGTAGGGACCACCAAACATTGTGACTGCTTCTGTGACCAAGTCTCTTGAGTTGTCTGTTTCACACAGGAAATAGCTGTTGTTTGGGAAACAGTAAAGTTTGGGACCCACATCAAGTGGCCTGCTTTCAGCCAATTCCATGTTTTGAGATAACCAAAGCTTTCTTTTTTCTCCTATGCTTTTTCCTTCATTTTCTGTTTTAATTTTGTTGCTGCCTCATTTTCCCTATTGCCATTACTACCTTTTCTCTGCCCAGCTATTCTTCTTATCTGCTAATCTATAACAAGAAATGCATTTTGTACAGTTTTATTTTCTTCTTTTGAAAGAGGAGATTTATTTTTCCTCAGGAAACATTTTTGAAAGAGGAAAATATTTTTCAGGGGGTTTTAAGGTATATAAAGGTCAAGTGAAGTTGTGTTAACCTTTTGGGATTATAAAGTAAAAATGAAATTTTGTAGTGATGATATGAGTTTAAATGTTACTGAAATCGTTCAAATATGCATTTCTGTTTAAGAGCTGCACATTACTGTAGCGCTGTCCATCGAATGTTGTTGAATTTTACTTTATTCAATGCATTTCTTTGCTAAATTTATCCTGTAAAGACCAGTAGGATGTATTTGATGCATGCGATTATGGCCCATGTGTTCCTTAGCTATATTTGATTTACCTTAAAAATTATTCATTGCTTTGTTTATCTGTCTGGTTTCACTCTGATACACATGGTGTTACCATGAATCTGAATTGACTTGATGGCAGCTGACCTGAAGATTTCATGTTATGTATGTATGATTTTATGTTGCCTTTCTCATCTGTGAGTTCTTTAACACTGAAATCTCTTGGAATGCCTACTGTTCCATTTGTCTTCTAGAGTCCATATTCATCAACTAAGAAAGCTTGAAAATGAGCAGCCGACGGAAACGTGCCCCTCCAGTGAAGGTGGATGAAGAAAAGCAGCAACAACTGTGTTGGAATATGCATGAAGACAGAAGGAATGAGCCTCTCACCGTAAGTGATGAAGAGCAGCTCTGCCCAGGTTCAGACTCCTCTTCTCATTGCATCATCCTGGAGGATCATCTACAGGAAGAGGTGACTCACAGAGATAAGAAGAAGTGCACAGAGTCCGTGAGCATTTCAAATTCAGTTGACACAGAAGACACTGTTGGTTTTTCTCCCCCTTTGTCTCTGAAGTTAAATGTTGTGATAGCTCCCTATCACCTAGATAGTTCTTGGAAGGCATTACTAGGAGAATTAACTCTGCACCTTCTTCCTGAACAGAGCTTACTTGAAAATTTTTCTGAAAGGAGTTTTACTTTAATGAGTTCAGAGTCCAGCAATCAGTTACTAATTTACGTTCACTCAGAATGTGGAGATGTGGAAAAAGAAGAAAAATTGCTCAACGAACCAGTCAGTATTTGTGACAAGGGTATTCAGGTAGAATCATCCTTCAGTAGTGAACTATTAGAAGATTTGGGGTGGCTGCAAAAGAAGAGAAGAATAAAACTTTACCAAAAACCAGAAGGAAATCATGTTATAAAGGTATGGAATTTCTATAGAGTCTACTAAGGTTCTTCTCCATTGGCAGTCCATTTTGAATTATGCTTCGAGAAAAGCAGGCTTTCAGAAATAAGCAATAAGCCCCTCATTACTAAAAATCAGAAACTTTATTATGGGTTTCAAGACCTATAAAAACTATAGCTAACCATTTCCAGACTGTACGTTTGTTGCATAAGATCTGGTTTCTTTCTTGCTTTCCGGTTCCTTTCAGTGACTTGCTCTAGTGCTCGACAACTTTCTCTTAAGGTACCAGTCATTTAACTAGTTCCTGTTTCCAGGTCTTATCAAATCCTTCATCCAGTTTGTCTCTGAAATTGCAATAGGAATGTAAATGGAATTCTGTTCCTCACGGCCTCCCATCAGGTATCATTGTTCCCATCGGGCATACAAGTCTCTCCTCTGACGGGCTTTTGTCTACTCCATCTCACCCTTTATCACTCTACTTCATATTTTGTCCCAGAAATTCCAAGATGATTTGTTTTCTGCACATAGCCTTCTTTTTTGGCTTTTCTTTTGCTCTCACAGTCTCTCCTGCCTCAGTTATCCCCTCCCATTTCCTTGAATAACTCCTCGTCAGTAGTCAGGCAGGGACATGTTTTCTTAAGCCCTCAGATGGGTTATATGCCCCTCCCCTCTACTCCCAGATACATGTTTCCTTTTGCATTTGTCACTTGCAGTGTACTTACAGTTTGGATCTTTCTTCCCAGCTAACCTAAGAATTCCTTTATTCCCCACAGCCTGATGCAGTACCTGATGAACTCTGATACCCAAAGTTTTTTCAATAAAAGAATGAATTAATATATAATTTTTTTAGTCTCTACCATTAACTAGCCAAGAAACTTTATATGAATTATTTAAATACTCAAATTTCAATTTATTTCTGTATGAAATGTGAATTAAACCCATTCTTCATACATCGTAGATTTGTGTTGAGACTCAGGGGAGATAATGTAAGTAAATGCACTTTGTAAATTATGAAACAGGTTAAGTCACCTTAATGCTAAAATCTGACAGGAAAGGAAATTCTAAAATGTTAAATTCACCTCTATTCAACTGAAAACCATCTCTTGCACCTGTTGTTGTAGTTAAGTGCCATCGAGTTGATTTCAACTCATAGTGACCCTAGGGTTTCTGAGGAGCAGCTGGTGAGTTTGAATCGCCGACCTCGCAGTTTATACTGACCTTGCAGTTGAGTGCTTACCCTACAGCGCCATACCAGGTGTCTTATACATCTAATATACAAATAAGCAGTTCCACCAGTAGCCCTGTTTATCACTTCAGAATTAACAAAGGAAAGCACTTAGAAGCATTACATTATCATTCATTTTTCCCTGGACAATGAGTGTATATAACTAAGTATTGCTATGTGTTTACTAAACGTGAGTGCCACAATCATGACTGAGGGATCAGAAGTCTGAATTCTTGACCTGCGTATCTGTGTCCTCTTTGTGCCCCTCATAGACCAAATCTTGGCCTATTCTGATTTGTTTTTTCATCCCAAATTTATAAATATTTAAACATGTATTGCTGCTGTACAAGTGTTAAGCCATCTCATCCCAGGTGAACACAAGACAGTGTTCAAATTAACAATGAAATAAAATCTCTGCCACTTGGATTCCTGTATAATGCTGGGTGGAGTCTTGTTCTTTTGTGACAGCATATGAGCACTTCAGTTACTAGTATAGGGAATCAGGGCCAGAGTAGCCCAGCAAAATGAAGGGAACTAATGACATGTGTTGTCTGCTGTTAGTAACTTTTAAACATGTAGTAAAGAGACTGCCTCATGTATTATACAGACTGTCTCAGGTAGACTTCTTTGCACTTTGCAAAGAACATATGAGTTGAAATAAATCAGTTTTCAGTTTATTATACTTCTAAATATCAATGCAAGTATTCAGATTCTAGTCTCCTGACTGCAAAGATGCCTGCACTAGATTCATGTTTCAAAATCTTACCATCTTATAAGTAGATGTAATTATAAAGTCTGTTTCTTCTACATTTTAGTAATTGATTTAGTAATAAGAATTCCTAAACCTAAATGCATAGAAATCCTGGCGTTTGCATCAGAATCTTTAGGCGGAATCTGTATTTTTAACATAACTCCCTGGATGATTCTGATGTTTCTCAGATTTGGAAATCATTGACTGTCATTGGCAGGTTTATGCTTTCTTATCACATTTTCCCAGATTTTGTTCCAGAAACTTAAATGGTGCATTGCACGTAGTAGGCATTTACATTTGTAGCATGAACTTGTTATTGAAAGTCAAAATATGTGAGGGAGACTTGCTTTGTTACTGTTTAGTGTAAGAGACTTGGTGGTACAATGGTTTAGCCTATGACTACTAATTTGAAAGGTTAATGGTTTGAACCCATCAGCAGCTCCTGGGAAGAAAGACCTCATGATATGCTAAGAAACCCTATTGGACAGAGTGACCCTACTTTGTCCTGTATGGTCACTCTGAATCAGAATCTGCTTGATGACACACACAACATCATTTAATATTTGTGGGAGGAAAACATGACTGTCTTAAGTCAGTGATGCATGTACTCATATGCTGAAATCGGAACGATACAAAGACGATTAGTGTGGTCCCTGCCCAAGGATGACATGCCAATTCATGATATACTTCATATTAAAAACAAAAAATGGTAATGCTGAAAATGTTATCATAAAGTCTTCATAAAGAATGGTATATTTCCAATTACAAGTACTTTTATGCTAATTAATTCTTTGTAGGTTGGAATTTATCTTTTGGAAGCTGGCCTAGCAAAGCTAGACTTTCTGAGTGATGCAAATTCAAGAATGAAAAAGTTCAATCAGCTTATGAAGAAAGTGATGGAAAAGTTATACAATTTTGTTGTTCCAGGTAATTTTAAAGTTATTTGAAAATAGCTGTTACTTTGTTGTTAGGTGCCATCGAGTCGGTACCGACTCACAGCGACCTTATGCATAACAGAATGAAACACTGCCCTATCTTGGGCCAACTTCACTATTGTTGCCAAGCTTGAGCCCATTGATGCTGCTACTTGGCCATTCCAGTTAGTTGGGGGTCTTCCTCTTTTTCTCTGACCCTCCACCTTACCAAACATGATATCCTTCTCCAGTTATTGGTCCCCTCCTGACAATATGTCTGAAGTATGAATGACACAGTTTGGCCATCCTGGTCTCCAGGGAGCTCTTTGGCTGCGCTTCTCCAACACACATCTGTTGGTTCTTTTGGCAGCCCATGGCACTTTCAATATTCTCCAACACCGATTCTACGGTCTTCCTTATTCACTGTTCAGCTTTCATATGCATATGAGGTTATTGAAAATACCATGGCTTGGGTCAGGCTTACCTTAGTCCTCAAGCTATTATCTTTGCTCTTCAATACTTTAAAAAGATCTTATGCAGCAGATTTGCCTAATGCAACATGTCGTTTGGTCTCTTGACTGCTGCTTCCGTTGAGTGTTGATGTTTAATCCAGGAAGAATGAAGTTCTTGACAATTTCAATCTTTTCTCCATTGATGAGAATGTTGTTTATTGGTCCACTGGTGAGGACTTTTGTTTTCTTGACATTGAGATGTAATCCATACCGAAGGCTGGACTCTTGGATCATCAGTAAATATTTTTAAGTCCTCTTCACTTTCAGCAAGCAAGGTGGTATCATCTGCATACCACAGGTTGGTAATGAGTCTTCCTCCAATCTTGTTGCCATGTATTTCTTCATAGAACCCAGCTTCTCAGATAATTTTCTTCAGCATACTGGTTGAATAAGTATGGTGAAAGAATATAATCTTGTCGCACACCTTCTTAATTTTAAACCATTCAGTGTTGCCTTATTCTGTTCGAACAACTGCCTCTTGGTCGATGTATAGATTCCGCATGAGCACAATTAAGTGTTCCGGAATATTCGTACTTTGCAATTTTGTCCATAGCTTTTCATGATCCATACAATCGAAAGCCTTTGTATAGATAATAAAGCATAGGCAGATATCTTTCTGATATTCTCTGCTTTCAGCCAAGATCCATCTGACATCAGCAATGATATCCCTCACTCCATGGCCTCTTCTGAATTCTGGAAGTTCTCTGTCCATGTATGCTTGCATTCATTTCTGTATTACCTTTAATAAAACTTTTCTCACATGGGGTATCAAAGATATTGTCCCATGATTTCTGCATTCTGTTGGCTCACCTCTCTGGAATGGGCGCAAATATGGATCTCTTCCAATCAGTTGGCCAGATAGTGGTTTCCCAAATTTCTTGGCAGAAATGAATGAGTGCCTCCTGTGCCGCCTCACTTTCCTGAAAGATTTCAATTTTTATTCCATCAATTCCTGGTGCCTTGTTCTTTGCCAATTTTTTCAATGCACCTTGGACTTCCTCCTTCAGTATCATTGGCTCTTGATCATATGTTACCTCTTGAAACGACTGAACATTAACCATTTCCTTTTGGTGCAGTGACTCTGTGTACCTTCTATCTTCTTTTGATGCTTTCTGCATCATTCAGTAATTTACCCAGAGAATCCTTCAATAACGAAAGTCGAGGCTTAAATTCTTTCTTCAGTTACCCCACTTGAGATATGCTGAGCATATTCTTCCTTTTTGGTTTTCTGGCTCTAGATCCTTGCACATTTTGTTGTAATATTTGACTTTATCTTCTCGAGCTGACTTTTGAAATTTTCTCTTTAACTCTTGTACCTCTTCATTTCTTCCGTTTGTTTTAGCATCTCTATGCTGGAGAGCAAGTTTCAGTGTCTCTTCTGACATCCATTTTGACCTTTTCCTCCTTTTTTGTCTTCCTATGACTTTTTGCTTTCTTCCTGTATGATGTTCTTGATGTCATCCCACAACTCTTCTGGCCTTCGGTCTTTAGTGTTTAATTTATCAAATCCATACCTCAGATCTCTAAATTCAGATGGGATATATATAGTCAAGGTCATATTTTGGCTCTCATGGACTTGTTTTCATTTTCTTCAGCTTCAGTTTGCATTTGCATATGAGCAGTGATGGTCTGTTCTACAATCTGCCCCGGCCTTGTTTTGACTGATAATATAGAGTTTTTCCATCATGTCTTTCCTCTTTAAGGGACAAAACAGCACTTATTTAAAATTTCCTCACTAATATAATTTTGTCTTTATTTCTTTATAAAAATTATTCAAGAAATGTTTGAGTCAATATGTCGGTCAATAGGTGACATCTCAAGAGATGCGGCCTAACGGGAATGGACATGCAGTGCTTGTCTTCCCAGACAGAGTGCTGTCACCAAAGTTCAATGGGCGTGCTTGAGCTCCGAGAAGAATTTGCTTTGCAGTTAGGGAAACAAAAGGAAAAGTGTTGGGCAAAGTCGCAGTTAAACTACCTTAAAAAATAAATGTATGGGTAGATTTTCAAACAGTAAAGAATTAAGGGCTCTCCAAGAACCATACACATTGGACAGCAACCCAGAATTGGGAAAGTGCATAGTATTATTATGAAACAAGAATTTCTTGGTTAATCTGAGACTATAGTCCTTAGTCACTCTTCTGCTTTGGAGATGAACTCACCCCTGTGGCTCTAGGCTAGCAGTACACAGGTTTAGAGGAGGGATAACAGCAGTAGTGAGGTACACACACCACAGATTGGTCAACCATTCAAGATCCAAAGGGCAGAATTTACCTAAGGGTAAAAGTCAGAAGAGTTGGCAAAGAAGAGGGGGATGGAAACAGGAACCACAGTGAGAAGGTGGTTGGTTACATTACGGAATTTGCAGTCATTGAGGTGGAATGAAGTAGACGATTTGTTGAATGTAAAAGTGATGATCTGCACTATAAACCTTCACTCAAGTTACAATAAAAAATGTTGGTGGTGTTTTTTGTTTTTCTGTTTTTAAGAAAAGAATTGCGTGTTTATAAAAGGCGCATCAGGGTTTTTACGAATACATTTGCTGTTTGCTGTACAGATGTGTTGGAAGAAGAGGAGGAAGACTCAGAGAGTGAACCAGAGGGACAAGACATTGATGAGCTCTATCACTTTGTGAAGGGAACACATCAGCAAGAAACACAGTCCATCCAGGTGGATGTCCAGCATCCTGCATTGATTCCAGTGTTGAGACCCTACCAAAGAGATGCTGTCAATTGGATGCTAAGACAAGAGAATTTCAGAAGCACCCCTACCAGTGGCAAGTATAAGATACTCACCGAAAAAAATCAAACGAGTTAGAAGAAGTATATGACAGATTGTTGTTGCTGAGTGTCATTGAGTTGAATCTGATTCATAGCCATTATTTCCAGGGAGTGGCTGGTGGGTTTGAACTGCCAACCTTGCATTTAAGAGTCCAGTACTTAAACTACAGTGCCATACCAGAATTCCATTTGAGAGAGAGAGTGGGGGAAATTGATCATTAAAAGAAATACTGAAACCAGGTAAGGTAGAATGGGTGTTGGTATGCACACAATTATTTTCTAAGAAATCTTTCAAAATTGATATCATTTTGTGAGTTGAAATTCATTTGTGTCTTTCCTCATCCATAACACTTTGAATGAGACTTTTCATAATTTGATGATGAGTGAAGTCCGGGTGTGATGCTGTAGGATAAACACTAGAGTACAAACCTGAAAGTTGGCAGTTCAAACCCACCAGCTACTCCTCAGAAACCCTACACAGGGTCACTGTGAGTCCAAACCAACTCAGTGGTACTGAACAGCATTCAATGCTCCTGTAAAGATAGGTTGTCTTGGAAACCTTGCACATGGTCATTACAAGTTGGAATTAACACGATGACATTGGGTTTCTTGTTGCTAGGTGCCATTTAGTCAGTGCTTAGAGTGACCCTGTGCACAACAGAACGAAATACTGCCCGGTCCTGACATTCCTCACAATTTGGTTTCATTTGAGCCCATTGGGCAGTGGGTTTTTTTTTAACTTGGTTAATTAGTGGCAGAATGTAAATATACAGAGACAGGAGACTTTAATTTGTTGTTAATCTATTTTTCCTAGGTTCATGTTTCTTTTCTTTACTTCACATAATATATAATAAAATGTGATCTATTGAGTGTTTTCATACATTTAGATTTGTGGGAAACCTTTTTTGCCATT